GTTTACATGAAGAGGGAGAATGCCGGCAGCTGGAATTCTGGGATGGAAAAGGAGCAAATATTAGAGACCTATTCTGCACAACTCCAAAGGTCCTGAAACTCCAGGAAAGTAGGTTTTGGAATATATTAAAAATATTGGGCGAAGAAAGCACCAGAGGGGGGCCACCCACTGTCCACGAGGGTGGAGGGTGCGCCCTACCCCCTGGGCGCACCCCCTGCCTCATGGGCCACCTAGCAGCCCCCCGTTGCCCATCTTCTAGTATATGGTGTCTTTTTCCCTGGAAAAAACATAAGGAAGCTTTCGGGATGAAGCGCCGCCGTCTCGAGGCGGAACCAATCTAGGGCTCCGGTGGAGCTGTTCTGCCAGGGAAACATCCCTCCGGGAGGGGGAAATCGTCACCATCGTCATCACCATCGATCCTCTCATTGAGAGGGGGTCAATCTCCATCAAAATCTTCACCAGCACCATCTCCTCTCAAACCCTAGTTCATCTCTTGTATCCGATCTTTGTCTCAAAACCTCAGATTGGTACCCGTGGGTTGCTAGTAGTGTTGATTACTCCTTGTAGTTGATGCTAGTTGGTTTATTCGGTGGAAGATCATATGTTCAGATCCTTTATGCATATTAATACCCCTCTGATTATGAATATGAATATGATTTGTGAGTAGTTACGTTTGTTCCTGAGGACATGGGAGAACTCTTGTTATAAGTAGTCATGTGAATTTGGTAATCGTTCGATATTTTGATGAGATGTATGTTGTCTCTCCTCTAGTGGTGTTATGTGAGTGTCGACTAGATGACACTTCACCATTGTTTGGGCCTAGGGGAAGGCATTGGGAAGTAATAAGTAGATGATGGGTTGCCCGAGTGACAGAAGCTTAAACCCTAGTTTATGTGTTGCTTCGTAAGGGGCTGATTTGGATCCATATGTTTCATGTTATGGTTAGGTTTACCTTGCGGATGCTTGCGAGAGTGGTTAATCATAATTGGGATGCTTGTCCGAGGAAGGGCAGTACCCAAGCACTGGTCCACCCACATATCAAATTATCAAAGTACCAAACGTGAATCATATGAGCATGATGAAAACTAGCTTGACGATAATTCCCATGTGTCCTCGGGAGCGCTTTGCTTTATATAAGAGTTTGTCCAGGCTTGTCCTTTTCTACGAAAAGGATTGGGCCACCTTGCTGCACCTTAGTTACCTTTGTTACTTGTTACCCGTTACGAACTATCTTATCACAAAACTATTTGTTACCGATAATTTCAGTGCTTGCAGAGAATACCTTACTGAAAACCGCTTGTCATTTCCTTCTGCTCCTCGTTGGGTTTGACATTCTTACTTATCGAAAGGACTATGATAGATTGCCTATACTTGTGGGTCATCACTTCCATGCATAATCCAGTCGACAAGCCTCTGGACACCGAGGCGTAGGGCTGTTAGCCTGTTACCTCCTTCGAGAGGGGCCTGAACTCGTAAACTTGCGTGTACAACCTCACCGTAGCTAGGACCTTGCCTCCTCCTTCGTACCCCCTACTCTTACTCTCAAACTCACTCCCACGACATCCACCACTCTCACACTTGTTGTTGAGGATTTGACTCTACAGTCTCATAGATTGAAGAAGCTTCTTCAAAAGAGTGTTGCTTTCTTGTGACGGCCATACATCTCTGCACGATCTGTTGTGCCTTTTGTTTGTCTTGCAAAAAAGTGGAATTTTTTGTTACTTCTTGGCTCGGAGATGGTCTTGACAAAGGTCGTTCATGGACGATAGATACCATCACAAACATAGCACCCCATGTTGTACTCATCTCCATTGACGATATAGTTGCATGCAGGAACTGTGCCCGCACACAACCTTGCAAACAATGGAAATTGATGCAACACGTTGATGTCATTGTGAGACCCTAGCTTACCAAAGAAAAAGTGCCAAATCCAAAGGTCTTGTGATGCAACTGTCTCAAAGATGATCATGGGCTTTTTATGATGGCCCTAGTATTGCCCTTCTTAAGCATATGGGTAGTTATTCCATTTTGAGTGCATTCACTTCAGAGATCCGAGCATACCTGAAACCCTCTTGATTCCCCAAGTGCCATGAGTCGTGTTGTGTGTTCGACATTTGGTTCTCTCAAGTACTCAGGTTCAAACACCTTAACCACTTAAATAGAAAATCTAGCCATGGTCTCCAGGCATGTGCTCGGAGACATCCGGAGGTACTCGTCCCACGAATTTGTGATTGTGCCATATCAGGCATCCTCAGAGCAGTGATGCACTTCTAAAGACCTGAGAACCCAATGTGGCCAACGACATCCTTCTCACTCATGAACTAATCATCATAGGCCCTGACACCTACGGAGCGACACATGAAAAATAGTCGCTGCATCTGGAATCGACATCAAAAATAGTTTTTGAATAGCACATCGGGGGCAAAGTAGTCATCGCACAGAGTCATATGCCCCTATGCCATGTCCCTTTGTTGAACCCTCGAAGTTAAGAACATCCTCCCCTGCACACTTTGTTCTTCAAGAATCGCTATCATCATCGTCGTTTCATCCACATCTTCGTCATCCGACGAAGATGAATCCATGAACTCGGCATAGAAATACTCCTCGGCTTAATCCATTGTGTTTGCTTCAAAGTGAACAACGAGAACTTCAGATTCTTGCATTATAGCATTTGCCAAACACCTGTTGGGCATGGTGACAGCTGTGGATGGCATCCGCATAGGCAGAGGGTAGTACAACGTCAGTGTCCACCAAGGCTTGGTCAGCATCAGCAGTAGTTATAGTAACTTAGCTAGTTACTGTAACATCAGATGTCCCAATACAATATGTCTATAACCTAATAAATGAAGTTTTGCATGTTACCACACTTATGTTACTATCCACTATGAAGATAATAACATAGCCTAGGGATATGTATATGTTACTAATGTATGTTACTCACCATTGTGGCTGGGCGAAGGGATTCGGCACTTGGACGTGAAATCATGGTCTCTACCAGACAAAGAATCGAATATGATGAGGGCATGACACTCGAAGAATGTAAGGTCGACAACGAAAAGGGCCGAACAACAATCCACACAAGAAAAGCGACGCAGCCAGTGCCACTAAAGATTCCATCGGGGGAAGAAGACTCCACTCGAGCCTCACTGGCTGGACCATTGACTTGACCTGGGTACAGAGCCAGAAGACAACCGTAGTAGAAACCGAATCGGCAGATGCTACCTGCCATGCTAGGCCAGAGAAACATACTCCCGGTCCCAGTCAGTAGGCACCACAACACCACAACACATAATGAACTCGCCGCATTTCCTAGTTACCCAATGGGTGTAGCAGATCACTCACGGTATCATGCTAGTGACACCTTTGATTCAGCTCCTCAAGCAAGACACCTTTGATTCAGCAGCTCGAGACCAAAACCAACTCCAGCCCAGCAACAACAATCGAATGAATGGTAGAGGATGACCACAGCAGGGTACAAATGATATTCACAAACCACAACCCGGACAAGCAAAAACCACACTAGCTAAAAAATTACAGATGGGGAGAAGATCCACAAAGACGCGGGGTCGGTCTTCCTCCAGCCTATACAACCACAACGCGCACTGCCTTGACAAAATGAGAGCGTGCCGCAAGATTAAGTAAGCCTTACCCGAAGGGTTTACGCCACCTTCACCACTACATTACAGCGAGTCGGTGTCAGATGATGCAAGCCTACTCTTTTCCCCAATCTAGGTATCAGAGGGTCATCTGTGCTAATCTCAATCACAAAATTAATTGGGGGACACGAAGGGAAAACAGAACCTATCAAAGAATTTCATGCTGCCTGGTGTTAGAGGTGCGATGCGTTATTGGACGTTGCGCGCCAACCCGCCACGTGGTGCACTTCTGCAACAAAGCAACAGAATGGAAGGTGGATTTAGTAAGGCTACATGGTCAATGAAAAGATAATATCTGGGCAACAAAAATAAGCATAGGCTACATGGGCAACAAAAATAAGCATAGGCTACATGGTACTAAAGAACTATAGGTAGAACTCTAGCTGTTTTGAAGAATGGTACTGAGTACTATTTCTTGGTAAACTTTTGGTATTTCAGTCAAATTCACACTAAATACCAAAGCTTTATTCTTCCAAATGGGCCCTAATGCTAGTTTTGTGCCAGATAATGTCTGCAATAACTACTACTCCCTCCATTCACTATTATAAGATGTTTTAGATATTTCAATATGGATATGGACTACATACGGACTGAAATCAGTGAACAAACACACTAAAACGAGTCTACATATATTCGATTTAGAAAAAAGTTAGAACATCCTACTCCCTCCGTTCACAAATATAAGATGTTCTAACTTTTTATGATTCGGATATATATTAGACACGTTTTAGTGTGTTCGTTCACTCATTTCAGTCCGTATATAGCCCATATTGGAAATATCCAAAACGTCATATATTTGTGAATGGAGTGAGTATTAAGAAAATGATGTCAGCAAGACTAGGAGGGTCAGTGCTCAATGTTTCCACGGGGAAAAGTTCATCGTTTACAAACAAGCAAATGGTTAGACAACTATTTGTTGAGCCTAATAAAGGCAACTCTCGATCCACCTAATGATACTGTGTACGGTTTGGTTTGAGGAGCCAAACGGTGAATGAAACATCTGATCCGAACTCCGAACCTAACTCACTTGTTTTTTCTTCAGAAACCATGCAGGGGGGCAGCAATTTAATGCATTAAGATAGAACTTGATTGGTTCGGCAGGACCAGTTGGCCCATCACCATCTCATCCCTCACAAGTACAAGTCATCTAAAAATATGAGGGGGTTATCGCAACAAAAATCGTAGGATCCCATGATGGAGGAACCATCCTAGGCTAAGGTGGTCCCTAAAGTCATTAAGCAGTACTGATGGTAACGTGATGAGTAATTGAAGTTAACAAAACTTGGAGTTTGTAGGGAAGATGGCAAACTTGAAGTTTAAAAAAATCAGTGTTGGAGGTATATGTTAAGAGATCAAGTTCTCAAAATGTAAGGCACTCTTGGCGTACCTTCCGGGAAGTGCCTGAGAAACTGTGCCAGGTCCTCTCAAACTACCAAGACGCTTGGCCTTGCTCTCTTGTTCCTTCTCAAGGCGCATAGCAGAAACTTCTTTCTCCATAGCAGCTACCTCTCTCCTCATCTTTTTAGCCTCCACCTCCATGGCTTTGGTTAAGGTGTCTACTTTCTTTGCTAACATCTGTAAATGAGGGGGTAAGTAAAAAAGCATTGTACCACGACGTCTCCTCAAAATGCAATAAGCAGAAACTCCAGCATCATACCTCGATTGCATCATCCTTGTCCTTTAGACTTTGGTCTTTCTCATGGCATGCCTTTCTCAATGAAACCACCTCCTTCTGCAGCATGTCATAGAGTACACCAGAGACCATATCAGTTGAATCACTATTTGTGGTTTCAGTATTTTTCTCTTCTCCACTAGCCTTCCAGCTATCAGTAGTCTCGCAGTCCCCAACAGCATCTGTAGATCTATTGAGTAAATGAGGTCCATTCACAAGGACCTTTCCCCGGTCTAAAGACCTCGTACCACCATCGAAAGACCTTGAAGTTCCTTTTGCGTGCTTGAGGACCAAGCTGCTGCCAACCGGGGATCTCCTCATTAATGCACCAACCGGGGAGACTTTGGACAGATTATCAGCTCCACCTAGCGATAGACGACGGGAAGATCCACTACTTGTATTCCTTCCTTCTGTAGGAGGACGGCTAGAACCACTTGGCGGCCCCCTCAATCCATCTTCTAGAACTTTTAGGCGCCACTGATACTTTTCCTGGGTCCAGAGAATATATGAGAACTTATTCCACAAAAGATGAACTTGTCTTAGAGTGTAGCTCAAATTCAACGTGACAGACATCTTTACCTTTACTTGAGCTTCCGATCGAGCAGTTCGCTCTGCAATAGCAAGTTTGTCACGAAGTTGCTGCATCTCACCCTGCAGAAATATGGTGGGAAAAAAACATTGCATGAAACTTGAATCCTATATGTGCCTAAGAAAGTGAGCCCCACTACTTCTAATTATCTCAACATGTGCTTCCAGATCATCAAAATTGTTGTAGTGTTAGATTTACTAGTTTGATCCGCTAGCATCCATCCAGTCTACGCATGAGAATCCTCTACCATGCAACATGCATTAGTGCATTCTTAGTGGGTTTAGAATCACATTGCATTTAATGTTGACATGCACAACTTTTCATGTCAAGATTCTTTTTTGCTTATGCAGAAATGTCTCACGTGGTTGAAATCGTAAGGACTAAATTAATACTCTATATGTCCAACTCCGCAGCAACACGCGGGGTATCTCAGTAAACAAAGAAAGCTTTAATCATCTTACCTGCAGAAATCTGCGCTCTTCAAGCCACTGTTTAACAGGCATTACTTTGTCATTGCCATCTTTCCACTCATTTGCAACTACAACAGCAACCCTGTTTGCTGTAACTTTTGTTCGAGCAAGTTCACGGTCAAGAACTTTTCTTTCTTCCTGGTGTGTCATGATCACAAAATAGCATGGGTCATCTTTTTGCATAAATAATCAATGAGGATTCAAAGAAAACATAACAGTTGAATGGTAGTATGTTACATTCATTTCCTGGACTTTCCGCTGGTAATCTCTAACAGCATTAGCAGCTGCACCACCAGCAAGGACAGCCTCTTCAAGCTCTCTGACTGTTTGACTAAGCTTTTCGACTTCCGCAACTTTTTGGCGGTGCAACCTATCCAATATCTTATTCTCTTCCTGCAATCAGGGACGAAACCAGTTGAGCAGCTATATTTGAATAACTTGACAGAGTTGTTTTCTCCCAACAAGCTTGGAAAATACAAGATATCTCATACCTGGCAGATCTCAATCTGCTTCATCAGATCTTGGTTCTTGTTTTGCATGTCATCAACCATAGCAGCTTTTGCTAATGCAGTTTGTACAGTCCTTTCTGCTTCTAGCAGTGCTGCCTCCTTTTGCTTTGTCAAACGATCTAATGCTCTGTTGTCCTCTTGGAGCTTTGCAATCTAAAAAGAACCAAGTTAAGCTTTTGTCAATTATATACCAAACATGCATCCAGTGGACACAACGGCTTGGATCCGTGGATATGCTGAGTGCAAAGTAGGATAAGAATATGACAATTTCAGCAGTCTATAAGTGAGTTAAGATGTCGATAACACAGCATACCTCTTGCCGAGCAAGCTTTAACTCAGCTTCAAGTGGTGCAAGAATGGCTTCAATAGGTGGCATGTCATCATCCTTTTGGGCTGCATGTACTCTACGCAGCGTTGCTTCTGCTGCAAACTGGGCTGCCATAGCTGCTTTTTTCTCATCATTTGTTTTTTTCAGTTCTAGATTCTGCAAAAATAGG